TTATTTATTATCAATTTGACCAGAGAGAGAGAGAGAGAAAGGCAGCCACCAGGTCTGGGACTCGAACCACAGTTGGCCATGTGGGAGTCCAGTGCCTTAACCACCGTGCCACCTGCCGACCCCCCATCGCCACTGTTTTAAGTGTACAGTGCAGGGGCACTGAATGGCACGGTTCAGTACATCCCCGGAGTCTGCTGTCATTACTGCTATCTACTTCAGTAGTTTTCACGACCCCTGACAGAAACTTAGTCCCTTGCTCCAGCCCCTCGCCCAGCACCTGATGACCACTGCCCGCTTCTCTCTGAATTTGCCTAGGTACCGCGGGCGAAGGGAGTCAGACGGGATTGGTCTTTGGTTCATTTCCCTTGGTGTGATGTCCTCAAGGTCCACCCAGGCTGCGGAGTGTGTCAGGACTCCCTCTGGCTGTGGCTGATATCCCCGTGTACTGCACACTTGTCTATCCATTATGGACCCCTGGGTTGCTTGACCTTTCGGCTCTCATAAATAACACTGTGATGGACTTGGGGGTTTAAACAACTCTTTGAGGCTCTGCTTTCAGCTCTTTGGGGGTCTATATCAAGAAGGGAATTGCTGGATCATGTGGTAGTTCTGTTTTTAAAAAACAAAAAACAAAAAACCACCATTTTGTTTTTCACAACAATCGTACCATTTTACATTCCCACCAGCAGCACACAAGGGTTCCAGTTTCCCCACATTCTTTTTTTTTTTTTCTGGAGAGGTTTTTGCTATAGGGCGCGTGCGCTCACCAGACAGAGAGAGACAGAGAGACAGAAAGCAAGAAATCACCCCCCAGGGGGGATGGTCACACCGCAATCCCTTCTCCATTCTCCTCTCAGGATCTTGGGCACGCATGCACATGTGCCCAGTGTGAGTTTTAAGCCACCAGGTCCGGGACGCGAACCGCGGTTGACTACGTGGGAGTCCAGTGACATAGCCATTACGCTAACTGCTGGTCCCCCCACATTCTTCTAATAGCCCTTCCAATGGGTGTGAAGTGGCAGCTCATGGTGGTTTTTATTGCATTTCCCTAATGATGTGATGCTCAGCATTTTTTTTTAAAATATGCTTATTGGTCATTTGTATATCTACTTCAGAGAAATGTCAATTCAAGACTTTGCCCATATTTTTGAAAGTTTATTTCTTTTTCTCTTTTTGGAGAGAATTTTGCTATAAGGGGTTTGCACTCATTGGAGAGACAGAGAGAGAAAGCGAGGAATTACCCCCGGGGGGATGGCCACGCCACCATCTCCCTTCTCCTCCATTCTCCTCTCGGGATCTTGGGCACACGTGCGCACGCACCTGGCATGAGGGTTAAGCCACCAGGTCTGGGACTCGAATCATGGTCGACTACGTGGGAGTCCAGCGACAACCATCACGCCATCTGCTGGTCCCAGTTTATTTATTTCTTCTGAGAGAGAGGTGCCCTCCACCAGGGTCTCCACACTGCCCTCCTCCCTGGCCCTAGCCGGCCAGGGGCACAGGCATGGGTGCACCACAGCGGGCACAGGGAACCTCCCTGTGGCCCTCCATGTGGCTTCAGCACCACAGTCTGTTTCTGCGGCGCCATGTTGCCCATTTTTACTTTTTTTTCCTAAATTTGCCAGGAGGCACGTGTACTTGCTGGAGACAGAGAGAGACAGAGAGAGAGAGAGAGAGAGAGAGAAAGCAAGACATCACCCCTCGTGGGCATGGTGACGCCGTAATCCCTTCTCTCTCCTCTCTCCCTCCTTTCAGGATTTTGGCGCACATGCACGCACACATGCCCAGCATGTTTTTCAAGCTGCTGGTTCTGGACTTGAACCATGCAGTTGGATGTGTGGGATCCAGCTGCCTTAACCACCAGGCTGTGGGGTGACTGACCCTTTTGCTCATTTTTCAATCAAGTTGTTTGTTTTGTTGTTATTAAGTTTTCTATATCCTGGATTTTAACCCCTTATTAGATATATGATTTCCAAATATTTCCTCCCCATCCGTGGTTTGCCTCTTCACTCTGTTGATAGTGGGGGTTTTTTGTTTTGTTTTGTTTTGTTTTGTTTTTGAAAGAGATTTTTGCTATAAGTGCATGTGTGCTCACCAGAGACAGAGACAGAAAGAGAGGAATCACTTCTCAGTCAGGATGGCCATGCTACAATCCCTTCTCCATTCTCCTCTTGGGATTTGGGGAACTCATGCCCAGCATAAGCTTCAAGCCACCGAATCTGGGACTCAAACCACAGTCAACCATGTGGTAGTCGAGTACCTTGCCCACGACGCCACCTGCTGGCCAAGACAGAGTTTTGGACGCACAGATGTAATGTTTCTACAGTTCGGGCAGTAGTAGCCTCTTCAGAAGCGTGTAGAGTCCATCAAGGCTCCCTTGCACAGCACGAACAAGGCTCACAGTAGGCTCCCCAGGTCCGGGTTGGAAGGCCTGGACCTTCCCAGATGGAGGGCCAGTGCCTAGAGAAAGCTTGACGTGTGGTCGTCGCCTTTGTCTCTTGAAGTAGGCACAATGTCCGTGTTCCTTGGGAGGAAACTCAGACCCACAGGGACTGTTACAGAAGCAGACACAACAGCAAAGGTGCCAGGACGCGTAAAAGTGAGTTATTTCCCAAAACTCTGCCATTTCCCCCATTGTAAAACTGGAAGCAGGTTTTCCTAGTAAATGCTTTAGACCGCTCACCCTGACGTTCAGTGGTTTTTACTTTGGAATCCCAACTGGCCCCATTTCCTGACAGTTTGAAGCACTCCTTTGTGAGAATTCCTGTCACTACTATTTTTTTTTTTTTTGCCAGAGGGAACCAGCAGTTAGCGTAATGGCTATGTTGCTGGACTCCCACGTAGTCGACCACAGTTCGCGTCCCGGACCCGGTGGCTTAAAACTCACGCCGGGCACGTGTGCGTGTGTGCCCAAGATCCCGAGAGGAGAATGGAGGAGAAGGGATTGCAGCGTGACCATCCCCCCAGGGGAGTGATTTCTCGCTTTCTGTCTCTATGTCTCTCTCTGTCTGTCTGGTGAGTGCATGCGCCCTATAGTGAAAATCTCTTAAAAAAAAATTGTTTTTTTGCCAGAGTGTGTGTAGTGTGTGCACTCACCAGAGAGAGAGAGAGAGAGAGAGACAGAGAGAGAGGGAGATAGGTAGAGGGAGAAAGCACCCCCAATGTGGTGTGGTTATACCACAATCTCTTCTGCCCATTTCTCCATACTGTTGGGATTTGGGCATACCTGCATGGGCAACCAGTGTTTTTCAAATTTCCAGGTCCAGGCCTTGAACTGCATAGTTGGCCACGTGAGATCCGGTAGCCTTAACCAGTAGGCCATAGGCTGGCCCTCCCTGACACTAGTTTTTGGGGTGGCTCTAGCTGTGAGTTTGGGGCCATGATGGGATTAGTGCCCCTGTGAGAAAAGACACTAACCCTGTGATTCATGCACCTGTAGTCCAGCTGCTAGGAGGCTTGGGGCAGGAGGAGCACAATGAGTTCAAAGCCAGCCTGGGCAACATAGGGAGATGCTATCTCTAAACAGAGAGAGAGTGACCAGAGAGCTTGCTGTCCTGAGAGCATGCATGAGGAAAGGCCACGTGAGGACCTGGCCACACTGGCACCCTAATCTTGTACTTCCAGTGTCCAGAACTGTGAAAACATAAATTTTGTTGTTTAAACCAAATCTATGACACTGTATGGCAGCCCAAGCAGACTAAGACAAACCCTAAATAATTAAGTGCATCTAAGAGTAAATATATTCTCCTACATAACCATACCCCAAGCCTTTAGCATGAGCTCCATAATTTTCAATATCTGATCCATGGTTAAAATATTTTCCAACTGGGGACCAGCAGTTAGCGTAATGGCTATGTCGCTGGACTCCCATGTAGTCGACTGCAGTTCGAGTCCTGGACCCGGTGGCTTAAACTCATGCCAGGCTCATGTGCGTGTGTGCCCAAGATCCCGAGAGGAGAATGGAGGAGAAGGGATTGCAGCGTGGTCATCCCCTGGGGGGTGATTTCTCACTTTCTATCTCTCTGTCTCTCTGTCTTTCTGGTGAGTGCACAAGCCCTATAGCAAAAACCTCTCAAAGAAAAAAAAAAAAAAAAGGTTTCCAACTGTCCCTGGGACTTTTTTTAAAAGGTTTTTGTCATAGAGGGTAAGCACTGGCAGAAAGAGACAATGAGTAGGAAAGTGAGCACTCACTCCCCAGGGGGCATGGCCACAGCTAGTCTCTTCTCCATTCTCCTCCTGAGATTGGGGGCACAAATGTACAGGCACCCAGCGTTATTTTCAAGCGCTGGGTCTGGGACTCAAATCGTGGTTGAATTGAATTGGAGTGGGCCATGTGGGAGTCCAACCTCATGACCACTACCCCACCTGCTGGCCCCCAGAATGTCTTTTCATAGTCACTTTTAAGGTCCACCCATTGTACTTAACATCTTTTTTCTTTTTTTTTTTTTTTAAGAGAGATTTTTTTCATAGGGCACGTGTGCTCACTGGAGAAACAGCGGTAAATCAACCCACCCACGCCGCAGGGGGATGGCCACACTGCAAGCCCTTCTCCTCTCGGGATTGTGGAGACACACACGCACACACACACATGCCCGTCCGGGGTTAGTTTCCAGCAGCCAGGCCCAGGACTTGAACCTAGTTGACCATGGAGTCCAGCGACCTCACCATTACGCCATCTGCTGGTCCGGTAGGGGATGCTGTTTACGCTGCATCGTATTAAAAGGCGTCTGATGGTAGACAGTGCTAAGTTGGAGAATTGGTTAGGTGGTAAAGGGGACCTCGCTGCTTTTAACTCCATTTAACAAAGTGAGAGCTACCCGGCTTTCAGTTCAGCCCCTTATCTAACAGTACCAAGCCAGCTCCGCCGGGGTCCGCAGGTCACTGCCGGTCCCCGGAGACACCCCGCCTTTTCCACGCCGGCCCCGCCCACCTCGCCCCGCCCGCCCCGCCCCTAACCCCGCCTCGTAGGTAGCCCCGCCCCGGCAGTCCGCGGACCAGAGGGACTCCCCGGTGCCATCGCTGTCGCAGTCGGTGCGTTTGGCTCGGCCGCCGCCATGGGGATCTTGGAGAAGATCTCGGAGATCGAGAAGGAGATCGCTCGGACGCAGAAGAACAAGGGTGAGGGCCGGCCCCGCGGGGCCTTCCTTTCTGCCCGCCTCAGTTTTCCCGTCTGTAAAATGGGGAAGCGACTCCAGCGGTAGAGCTGGAGCGGGCTGGGGGAAGTGCCTGAGACAGGGCCAAGTGGAAGTGAGTCCGACGCCGGGGTCTGACTGCAGAAATCTGATCGGTGGCGGACCCGCTGGCCGCGTGGAGAAATTCAGCTCACAGTGAACATCTGACCCAGAGAGACGCAGGGTGGGGGTTCAGACCCCGGCTCCTGGTGGCCTAGTGCAAGTAGAGGTGGCTAAGACCTGGTGCAAGAGCCCTCTCCCGGAAGTAGCTCACCCAGCAGCGGGGCCTGTAAGGTGGAGGGACTCAGGACTCTGGAGTCTGAAGGTCTGGGTTTGAACCCCAGTTCTACCCCTGCTGTGAAACCTTGGAAAACCACATACCTGCACTATGCCCTTATTGCAAGTGGGGATAATAACCCCCTGCTCCATCTTAGTTCAAAGATGAGTTAAATTAGAAGCCAGTGCTGGGCCAGCAGATGGTGTGGTGGACCAGGCGCTGGACTCCCACATGGCTAATCACGGTTTGAGTCCCAGACCTGGCAGCTTGCTTTTTCACTTTCTCGCTCTCTGGTGAGCATTTATCTTTATAACAAACAAAAATAATAATGATAAATTTTAAAAATTCTTTTTTTTGGGAGAGGTTTTTGCTATAGTGCGCGTGTGCTCACCAGAAAGAGAGAGACAGAGGGATAGAAAGTGAGAAATCGCCCCCCGGGGGGATGGCCACGCCGCAATCCCTTCTGCTCCATTCTCCTCTCGGGATCTTGGGCACGCACGCACACGCACCCGGCGTGAGTTTAAGCCACCGGGTCCAGGACTTGAACCGCGGTCGACTACATGGGAGTCCAGCGACATAGCCATTTTGCCATAAAAATAATTATTTTAAAAAAAGGCGGCATTATAAAGTACGCATACACACACCTGGATGGCACATAACGAAGTACCGAATTTAGACCTCAGAGTGTAAGGGCTGACGGGCTCAGAGAGGATAGGTGAGGAGGTGGGGCTTGAGCTGGTCCAGAGGATAAGCAGCTGGGGGCACACTGGGGCCAAGGCACAGGCGTCTCGGTGAGCATTGTGTGTGTGGGGCAGAGGACAGTGTAGATCAGAAAGGGGGCGTGAAGCAGGGGCATTGCCCTTGGCTGAGCCAGTGCCTGTCCAGTCTCGGGATTCGGGAAGCAGAGACGTTCACTGGTGGGCCTCCGTGTCTGCCTCCCTTGGCTCTGGGGGGAAGGCTGAGGAGCTGGAGCTCGTCTGGGAGCCCTTGTTCTGTGGATCCTTCCTGAGCATGTACTGTGTGCCGGGCGCTGTGGCTCGAGCAGTGAGAGCAGCAGGCGCACCGCGGAGACCCCGGACACTTACTTTGGTCTTGCTTTCCGTGCCTTAGCCACAGAGTACCACCTGGGCCTGCTGAAAGCCAAGCTCGCCAAGTACCGGGCCCAGCTCCTGGAGCCGTCCAAATCAGCCTCGTCCAAGGGAGAGGGCTTCGATGTCATGAAGTCGGGTGACGCCCGCGTGGCGCTGATTGGATTTCCCTCTGTGGGTAAGGTTAGTGATGGTCAGTGTGGGCCTGGGGAAGATGGCAGGAGGCATTCCAGGGCTGTCTACACTTCCCCCCGCTGCCTCTTCAGGATCAGATCCCACCCCTTTACCTTAAGGTTTCAGGAGAGAGTGCTCTCTCCTCTCCCTGCAGGAACAGCCACCTCCCCGGGTCCCCGGTTCACTGTCACGCACAGACATTTGTCAGTTTGTACCCCATGCTGTCATGGTCCCAGCTGGACAAGGCTGCTCTGTTCCTGCTGCCACCACTCCCAACAGAACTCCCATTGGGGAGAGAGGAAGTAAACTAGAAGAGGGGTATGTCATGTGGTAAGGTGCAACGGTGGAGGTCCTGCTGGGAGTGTCGGGGTCCAGGAAGGCTTCCCTACCGAGCGGAGATGGGAGCAGAACCCTGAGCGCCGAGGTCCTTCCAGGCAGAGGGAACCTTGGTGCAGAGGCCTCAGGTGAGAGCCCACTTGGTGGCTGGCTCTAAGTGAGCAGCAGGGAGTATAGGAGACAGATGGGAGAGGAGGGGTCTACGTGGCCCTTAACCACCACGCCGCCTGCTGGCCCCTGATTGAATTTTATGTGAGGAGTAAGATGAGCATCATTGTAGGGTTTGGAGCAGAAAAGAGACATGAGCTGACCGACTTTGCCTTTTGAGCCAGCAAGTGGTGTGGTGGTTAAGGTGCTGGATTCCTACATGGCCAATTGTAGTTCGAGTCCCAGATCCAGTGGCTTGAAAATCACAAGAGATAAATAAATAAGTAAATGTAATTTTTAAAGAAGATATATCTGATGAAGAACTGTTATCCAAAATATACAACAATTTTTTTTTTTTTTAAAGAAACTTTGCGGGGACCAGCAGATGGCTTAATGGTTTTGTTGCTGGTCTCCCACATTGTCGACCGCAGTTTGAGTCCCAAACCCAGCGGCTTAAAACTCATACCAGGCGTGTGTGTGTGTGTGTGTGTGTGTGCGCGCGCGTGCAACATCCTGACAGGAGAGCGGAGGAGAAGGGATAGCGGCATCGCCATCCCCCTGGGGGTTGATTTCTTGCTTTCTCTCTCTTTCTCCAGCAAGTGCACATGCCCTATAGCAAAACTCTTCCCCCCCAAAAAAAAACTTTTCATTTTAGAAAAGTCTTGCATTTATGGGAAAACAGTTCCGCTAGTACAGAGAGTTTCTGGCTCCCGTTGCTAACCTCTTCCCCTGGCGTAGGCCACGGATCGCGTCCGTCTGCAGGTGCTACCTCGGCTGTGCTCCGTGCACACGTCCGTAATTTCCCTGCCTTCCTCCTGCTGTCCTGCCATCCCACCTCACGTTAGCTGTCTTCACACACATGGGTTCCCGGGACCGTTCCTTGGACTTGCCTGGAGCGGATGCCGGGTCAGCGCAGAGAAGTGCTCTCGGGTTGTGCCGCCGGGCCCTCAGCAGGAGTTGGGTGTTGTCCTGTGGTTAGACTGGGTCATGGCTTAGGGAGGAGGACCCGCGGAGAAGTGCTGTTTCCATCAGGTCCCTGACAGGTGCCCACTGCCCACCGGGCTGCCCTTGGCTGAGGGGCTTCTGTCAGGTGTCTCCTCCGAGAGTTGCTGTGGGCCCCTCACCCCATCCCCCCATGTGCCATGGTGATCTGTGTCCTGTGGGGTCACATCCACCCCTCCCAGCTCCTCCCTCCCGCAGCACCCTCTGCCTTAGACCCGAGGGCTCTTATCTCAGCCCACCCACCCTGGTGAGCTCCCTCCTTGCCCACCCTCCCCGTGAGCTCCCTCCCT